GGTTGTAAAAAAAAAAGGCCAAACTTCAGTAAAAACCATGAATAACACCCCCTCCCTTCTTATTATTAATAGAAATTTTCTGTGGAATTAAGTGCCAGGAATGTGGTTCACACATAAGGGACGTGACTGTGTATCTTTTCTCCTTTCTGGGAGAACCAAGGGCAAGCCAAGGTGACTGGTGGGGCTACGGAGATGGGGCAGAGGCCCCAGCCGTCCCGGCCCAGCCCCAGCAATTGCCTCTCTGCCATTAAGAGCTCTGGGCATGAAATTTGATTTAAAGTAAATAACATTGGGACCAGGCGAGTGGAGCTTCCTTTTACTGGGCTAAAACTGAAAAATCAAAGCTGTACTTTGCAGGAATTAAAGAAATCAAATGTTAAATCTTTGAATATTCATTGCTTTCCCTTGATATTTTAAAAGGAGAGAGAGAGAAATTGATTAGTTGCAACAAGCACTTGCACAAATTCACCTAATGAACATGTGAAAAGGAAGATTATTTTATAAACTCAACAAAGGCCAGTGTCCATTTCCTCAGCCCTCAGAAGCCTGTCCCTGGGGTCTTTTTTTCCACCAGACACGGATGGAGGGTGACCTGTGGCTGCAGGCGTTTCTTGGGGAATGTCCAGCACACAGAGGTGCCTGGATGCCCAATTTTAAGTAGTATGGGTTCCAGACCAAGTTTCCAGAACGGACACAAGAGCTAATAAGTCTTCAGGCCCATTTCATTTCTGCAGTTGGTGAAGCAAGAGACGAAAATCCCACCACCAAAAATCGCTCCAATCCAGCAGGTCAGGGCGGTAGAGCTCGGTGGTTCTGACCCTGTTTCCTGGGGCTCCTGATCATGTCTCAGCTCTGCTGAGTCCGGAGAAGCATCTTCAGAGGACGCTGGGCTGAGCCTACAGAAGTAGCCCGGATAACGTTGAGAGGGGGTGGGCGTTCAGGACCTCCAGCCCTCCAGGCGTCAGGTCTCTGCAGCTTCGCCCTGGACCGTGGTAGTTGGAATTTAGGGAGGGTGAGCCTGAGCAGAAATAATCACAAACTCAGCTTCCAGCAGCAATGAGGGGCGACCGAGGCTAGGAGAAACACTTGGGGTGGCGCTTGTCTCCCTGGGTGCCCCCAGCCCCGGTTGCAGGACCACAGGGAGAGCTCTCCCACGTAGGGAGAGACTCTCCTCTCCCTCCCAAGTGCCCAGCTGGTGCGCACACGGGCCAGCGCCCCGAGCGCGTGGGCGACGCAGACATTGAGTGTCTGGAGAGCCCCAGAAGCCCACGCTTGTGTTAAGAGGAGCCGGGATCCCTGCCTTCGTCCTGAGAGCAAGGTCTCCTAACACTGTGTTTCGTTTTATTTCGTTTCCGGTCTCCTCCTAGATGGAACAGAGTGGGAGGGTGGGGTGGAGGAGGGGGACAAGGGGCGGTCAGAGGTCCGTGAACTGCCCAGCCCAGTCCTCACCCCGGGTCTCCAGGCCCTTCAGTAGAGGTGGGGGTGGAGGTGGGGGCATCCAAAGCGAATCAGGGTCCAAGACTGCGCCTGGCGCCTGGCGTAGTGCACGCTGCAGTTTGCTGAAAAGCGGCCTGGGAACTTTCATTTCCTTCCAGAAATCTTTTCTCTGTCTCTCTTTTTTTAAACTTCCTTTTCTTCTCTCCCCCCCCTTCCTCTTGTGCTTGTCTTTAGGAGAAGGAAGTGACCTCCTTTCTAGCCACAAACTTTTCTGAAACTTGTCTCCTTTGGAAGAGTTGGCAAAATGCGTTTAAGCCACAAAACCATCCACATTTTCATAACAGGTCTTGTCTCCCCAACTGCCTGGTGCGCTCGCTCTCTCTCTCTCTCTCTCTCTCTAGGAAGTGCCCATAAAAAGTCAAACAAGCACCCCTTATGTGAGGTCCAGGCTCTGGAGGTGCAGACCGTCCCCTCCTGTTGGAAACCGTAAATGCTCCGTTTCATAACGCAGCCCGGACCCTGCAGACTTGGGCCACAGCTCAGGTTCACAGAAATGTGTCCTAGAGAAAGTTCTTGCCTGGCCTAAAGTATTATAAATAACACTCAGAGGAGGCATTTCCTGTCTCTATCTTGGAAGGGGACAGGGGAGGGGCTTAAGGGGACCCCGCTGCTCCTCCTCCCCAAAGGCTGGGGTGAGGGGAGGCCGGGCTCTGTGCTCATCGCTCAGGAAAACTGATTTTTACCATCAGATGACTCACTTGCCTGACCAGTAACTCTTAGGACAGACGAGGCCTTGGAGATGGAGGGAACTGCTGATGAAGACACGCCTGCATTATTCAAAATCTTTCCTTTGCACAGAGAAACAGTTTTAAGGCTCCAGTTGAAGGGGGCAAGAGGAGAGAGAGCGTCACTTCTCTCCTGGGCTTACGGGTCTCTGAAATCCAGAGTCCCAGTCTGGTGCCACTTGCCTGGCCCCAACTCCTGAAGGTTCCCAGACCTTGACCCGGTGTTTTCTGTTGGACAGAGAGTCATAGAGCCCTGTCCCTGGGTGGCCCTGCGCTGGTCTGGGGGACAGGGGGAGGTCTGGGGCTTCTCTCCCGCCTCCCCTGGGAAGGAGCCTCAGGCTTGGGAAGCCTCAAGCCAACCCCGGGAAGGTTTGGGCCCCAGCTATAGGGGAGGTGGATTTCAGGAGGGGCCCGGAGCACCTACGTGGGGTCTCACTACTGGGTCGCTGAGGACCCCGCCTTCCCATCAGGGGCTGGGGAAATGAAGGAGGGAGGCGGTGAGAAGTGCAAAAGTTACCCCACCCCCAGGACCCCCGAAAGTTGCTCTGGACCTAGAAGCCCTTTCCCCAGTCTCTCTGTGTCTGTCTCTGTCTCTCTGTCTCTCTCTCTCTCTCACACACACACACACACACACCCCCCTTAGCATCACTCTGCAGACCCGGCTGGGGCGGAAGATGAACGCAGATGGTTGGTAGAAGAGCGGGAGACCCAAGCCCGGCTCTGCCCCAGAACAAGCGAGCGCCAACCCCGGGGCGCCCCGCGCCCGCGCCCCCTGCCCGCCCCCGCTCCGGGCGCACCGCGGCTCCCCCTAACCGCCCCGCGAGGCTGCGGGATGTATAATGGATGAGGTCTATTTGAGATTCCGTGTGATATCCGCGAGCCTCCGCTTTGATTAGAGGGCCGCGGTGACAAAGACCTGTTTGTTACGTTTCGAAGGCTTCTTCGCCTTCGCGTTTGAAGTTCGTGGAAGGCAGAGGCCCTCAAGTCCCCGCGCGCGGGGCGGAGTAGTCCAGGACTGGGAGGGAAGGTCGGGCTACTCGGGCAGCCGCGCTCGCGGAGGAAAAGGGGTGGAGGAGAGGGGGAAGTGAGAGGAGGAGGAGGGAGGAGAGGGAGGGGACGAGAACCGAGCGAAGGACAGGGGGAGGAAGGGAAGTGGACGGTGAGGGAAGGGAAGGGGGGAGAAAGGAGAGGGAAGGAGGGAAGGAGGGAGGGAAGGAAGGAAGAATGGAGAAAAGGGGTGAGACTTCAGCACAGCCAGGCTCTCCTCCCTCCCCCTGGCGTCCTCGCCCTTCCCCACTGCCCTGGCACCTAAACTTGACCAGACCTGCGACGTCTGGGCGGCCCCCACTCAGGTTCTGGAGATAACGCTCACTTTCTTTCCCAAGAAGGCGATAAGGGTGGTGCCCAAGGGTGGCTCCCAAGGGCGCCCGCGCGGGCAGCAAGGAAAGGCCCCTCACCACCGAGGCTGGACCGGACAGGGGTGGGGGTGGGGGTCCGACTACAAGGGAGGGACACTGCGGCTTTGGAGCAGGGACTGCCTCAAGAAAATGCAAAACAAGCTCCTCCCAAATCCCAACACCTCCACCCCACCCCTGTAGCCTCCCAAAGCTGCCCCAAATTCAAGGGAGGTGCTGGGTGGGGAGGGGGTGGAGAGGGGAATGCGGGGATTATTACAAGGGGTGGGGGGAAGTGGGAAGGGGAGGGAATGTCAACTTTATTTGCAGGTGGAGTTTTGCAGAAAGGATGACACGTTTGGCTTCCAGGACGGTGAAACCAATTTCCTATTGCGGTGCAGAGAAGTTGGCGTCCCTGAGCGCATTGGAAAGGGGGAAGGCGCGAAGGCGCGAGGCAGGCAAACCGTAGCCAAACCAAATATATTAGATCGATTAGAATATATATTAGAAGTATATATGTACATGTATATATATACTTCCCAAATAAATATCCCATACACCAGAGTGACACCACGGCTCTAAAGAACGAGGCATCTGTCCGGCCGTGCGGGATCTGACGCGGGCAGAAAGGATAGATGTCTACAAACCGCTTCTCCCTGGACCCGCCGGCTTCTCCGCGTCTGCAATCACCGAGCTTCGGACGCTTGTGGCCCGGCGGCGTCCAGTCCTCGGTCTCCTGCTGTTTTTTGCAGCCGCCGCCGCCCAGGCGCCCTGGTCCACGTTGCCCCAGCCTCTTCCTCTCACTTTCGAGGTCCCTGAGCCGTGCCCAATCACACCCGCGCGCACCCGGTCCTCTCTCTAGCTCCGCGGGCCGAGTGACTTGGAATCAGTCCTCTCCCGAGATCGCGCGTACCCGCCGCCTGGTCCTTCCGGTGTCCCCGCCCTGCCGCGCGCCGACCCATAGCGAAAACATCAAGCACGGCGCGCGGCTGTGTTTCCTCACCGCGCCAACCCGCTAGGACGTCCTCGGGATCGATAAACTCCTCCTTGAGTTACGATCCCGCCAGCCATTCCTCCAAGGTGGATACCTGTTTGCGGATCGCTCGGGCGCCTGCGCCCGCTCGTGCGCGCGCGCTCTGCCTTCAAAAAATTTGATCGTTACCTCTCGACACCAAGGTGCACGGACGCCAAACAGTGATGAAATGAAAAGAAAGCCAATTGCCGGACTGGGGGGGTGGGGGAGAGAGCGCGTCTCTGCGTGCGTCCGCCGCCGAGCCCCGAGCCGTAATTGCTCCAGACAGCGAGCGCTGGGGGTTGGGCCGAGGTAGCCGCGTATAAATACTGAGATCTCAAATTCAAGGCATAAATAACAGCAGCGGTGATCCACCCTCACACGGACCGTCCTCTCCGCACGCGGGGAGGCGTGCGGACCGCAGCCCGGCTCCCAGCCAGCCCCGCAGAGCCCTGCGGACCCCGCTGCCAGCCATGGAAGAGCTGACGGCTTTTGTATCCAAATCTTTTGACCAGAAAACCAAGGAGAGCAACGGAGGTGGCGGCGGCAAGAAGGATTCGATCACGTACAGGGAAGTTTTGGAGAGCGGACTGGCGCGCTCCCGGGAGCTGGGAAACTCGGAATCCAACCTGCAGGACATTACGGAGGGCAGCGGCCACTGTCCGGTGCATTTGTTTAAAGACCACGTGGACAGTGACAAGGAGAAACTGAGAGAATTCGGCTCCGCGAGGGCTGCGGAAGGTAAGCGCGCTGGGCGCCGGCTCCGGGCCCTCCCGGGGACGGCGCCTCCTCTCCACAGAGCCTGGTCGCGGGCCCCTCATTCCGCGCACGCGGAGAGACGCTGGGAGCTGCGGCTCGCACTGCCTTCGACCCCAAACTCTGTGAATTTACAGACACGGCTCGGACAGAAAGGCTCGAGCTTCCAATCACCCGTCTTAAGAAGGGAACGAAGCAGAGACAGAAGCGGACCGGAGTTGCGCACAGACAGGGCAGAGGCAGGCAGGGAGCCGAGGAAGTGTTGGGCTGGGGCCGCGGGCTGCCAGAAGACTGGCTTCCGCCGGCATAGGCACGAGGCGCAGCTGAGGGAACTTTCTCGGGTGCCTGAAGCTGAGGGCGGCCGTAGGGCTGCTGAGTGTCGGCCCGTCTGTCTTACACGCTCTCTCCCGCACACAGAGGAGAGATCCACATACAACCCTCCCAGCTCCCAACCGCTGCCTGTTCCCCAAACCGATTAATGGGCAGAGCGGAGAACGCGCTGGCTCTGTAGTTGGAGAGGGTAAGGCTCCCAGGCAGCTCGGCAGTGTTTCCTTCAATAAGAAACTTAGCCCTTGGGTCTAGTAGACATTAGAGACACCTCAGTGCCTGCAAGTGACCGGGGATCTGGACCAGGCTTGAGGGGCGGCCGGGAACCTGGCGGCCACGCGGCAGTCCTCTCCAAGGCTGTCAGAGCGCAGCCGCCTAGCCGCGCGCAAACCCGGCCAGCGATCTCCTTCCTTCCTGCGGCCCCTCTTTCTCCAAACCTCCGCGGCGGCCGCTGCAGCTTATTACCCTGTCGTTGGAAGGGCAGGTGAAGGAACGTTTCCGGGGCTCGACCTGCGAGTCTCTCGGTACCAAGAAAGCGCCTGGCAGGGACGAATCAGAATAAAAAGGGCTAGATTTCTCAGGGGCACGGGAGTGAGGGCTCTGAGTGTGTATTTTTCATTACAAAGAGAGGAAATAGCAAAGCTTTCCTTGGAGCTTGGAGCTTTCTGGTCTGGTTTGGAACATTGTCACAGTTGAGGTATCCCCGTGAGCTCCCCAGGAAGCTGTTGTGGGTGCCACACTCTGTTGGGTGGCATGATCCCGAGGAGGCAGGCAGCTTCCCCGAGGAGGCTTTAACCTGATGTCGGCGGAGAGTTAGCAATAAACCCCAGACTGTTGACAGTCCCAGCAGCAAGGGCCCAGCCTACCTATGGTCCCCCCTCCAGGCCACTTCCCACACCTGGCTCTATAATTCATACAAAGAGAGTTTGCTTTATTGAGACGAGGCTGTGTGTGCTGGGCACTCCTCACGGCCTACATTTAACTTAAGCGGTTTCTAGGGCCCAGCCAGGCTGTCCCTTCCTGGAGGCCGAGCCCCTCCTCCGGCCTGCCTGCTCTCACCCTGACCTTGGAACCCGGGAAAGCAGACATCAGGAAGAGAGGACAGTGCCACCAAGGCCTTGGGACAGTGACAGGACAATCAGGAGTGGGGCTCAAAACAAGGGCATCAGAGACAGCCACGCTCTCCCCCTTGGCTGGGGGGAGAAAGACCCCTGGGAAGGTTCAGTTCCAGGCTGACATTTGGTAGACAGAAGTAGAATACAGATTGGGGGGGACTTAGGGTTAGGCTGCTGTGGGAACCACGAGTTCTAGGGAACAGTGTGTCCCCGCTCCCCGTCCAGGCCAGCCCTGGAGGAGCTGTGGATTCTGCAAAGCCTGTGGGGGTCTCCCAAGGATTTCTGAGGCCAGCTTCTCAGCTGGGCTCAATCCTTGAGGTTCAGATTTGGAGAAATGAGTGAAGAAGAGTTAGGGCTGCCTCTAGGAAAGGATTTACTGTTGAGAAGAAACACGGTGTTCTTGGAAATACGGTCCCTTTAGGAGGTGAAAGGAGATTTGAACTCCACGTGAAGGATCAGGGCTGCTGTGCTCACAAGCCCTCAGGGAGGCTTGTAGGAAAATGAGAGAGGGGCTACTGTTGTCCAGCTGGGGAGCCAGGGAGGGAGGGCAGAGCCCAGGATTTTCTACCCTTTAGACATTTCAGTTTGCCACCTTCGCAGGTTTCTCAGGTTTCTGGTTCGTAAGGACTCCTGTGGGGTCTGGTGTGCTGCTCAGAGGCCGTTTCAGAACTGATCTCTTTCAGAGTAGCCTCCTGAATGCCCACGTCTTACCCTTGACACCAGGGGACAGCTAATTAGGGCATCAGGGTGCATTCCGGCCGCACACAGCAGGCCCTGTGATCTGAGAAAAAGAACTCAGCAGACATCCCAGGGTGTTGGGGGGCAGCTTGTACCCTAAATCCCGGAGCTTCCCTGGTGGGAGGGGGGCTTCATTTCCCAAATTGGAAAGCAGAGGCTTTTGATGACCCTGTTCCTTGCTTTACAACTGGGCCTCCCACCGTCTCCCCCACCAAGTACAATCACACTTTTAGTCTTTGGACATTAGGAAGTGCCACCTTTGGCATCTCAGTGGAGTGAGTTCTAGACGTAAGCGTGAAAGAGAGAAAGAGTGGGGGCAAAAAACGTAAGCTTGGAGACTTCCCTGCCGGCATGGAGGTGTGTATTCAGAAAAGTGTGTGTGCTACACGGTGTGGGTCGTTCCCGGGTCTCCACCACATCCTGGAAGTAGCCTGCATCTGTCACCTTGCCTGGGAGCCGCGGGTTAGCAGCGCTCCGTGGGCCCTGGCAGGGCCACACCATTCTCTTCCCAGGGCTTCCCTCTGCTGAAGGACACATCGGGCGATTTTCCCCATACTAATTTGACTTAAAAATAATATTTAACAGCCCACTTGTCTTAAAAAGAAACAGAAGAGGAGGAGAAAAAGGTTAGGCTATGTCAACAGACGGGAAGTGGATAACTGGGAAAACTATTCTGAGATTAGGCCAGGAAACGCGTCGCCGGCATTGCCCAAGTTATTACAAAAGCAGGTCTGGGGTCTGCTTTGTGGACTTGACGCAGTCCTGGCGTCAGGGCGCCTCCCTTCCCGAGGTCCCCTTCCACCGTGCGTGTACACTGAAGTTTTCACCCCGCCGAGCAGAAACACTGACCTCGCCTGCCAGAGCAGGACGTGCGCGGGCCGTGGGAGGCGGGTGCCGGCAGAGGGACGCGGGGAGCTCGGGCCTGTGCCACTGCCGGCCTCAGCGCTCTGCCCTCGACAGGTATTTACGAATGCAAGGAGAAGCGGGAGGACGTGAAGTCGGAGGATGAGGACGGTCAGACCAAGCTCAAGCAGCGCCGCAGCCGAACCAACTTCACGCTGGAGCAGCTCAACGAGCTGGAGCGGCTCTTCGACGAGACGCATTACCCCGACGCCTTCATGCGCGAGGAGCTGAGCCAACGCCTGGGGCTTTCCGAGGCGCGCGTGCAGGTAGGAAGGCGGGCCAGGCGCGGCCAGAGGCTGCCTGGTCCTGGGGAGGGCCTTGCGCGCACTACCTGGGCCCCCTGGGCTTGAGTCCCTTTCCAGACTGTCTGCCGAGCTGGTTCGGAGTTGGGGGGCCTTTGGAGGTGTCCCGGAACCGCGCGGTTCTCGGCAAAGGGGCACATGCCCTGACAGTGGTGGTTGTCCTGCGAACCTAGGTTATCAGGAATTTGAATCTTTCTTTTTTCACCTTTTTTTTCTACTTGTCTCCTCCTCCTTGAAATATCCTGTTTCCACCTTTTTTTCCTACTTCTCTCCTCTCGGGCCGGTTAGGTCTCCCCTCCTGTCTGTCCCCTTCCCTCCCGCTCCCGGGAGGAGAGGGGCTCCACACAGCGGGCGTCTTGATGAGTGACGCTCCTGCCCGCGAGGGGCCCGATTAGCTCAGCGCGGGGAGCGCGCTGGGCCGTCTCCGTCCGATTCCCCGGGTAGCTCAGGAATCATTGCAGTCCCATCTGGCGTGCCGCTGGAGGCGGGGGCCCCTGGGTGAGCCCAGTACGTGTGCAGGGGGACGCGTGGGTAGAGCTTTCTGCACAGTTATGAAAATTAAGTTAAATGTATTCACTTATTTCTTGGGTGACGCTGGGAGACCAAAGATTCGAACCCCCAAATCACTTCCTCTTAGATACAGCTGGCCCCCGCCTGGGAGGTGGGGTCTGGAAGCTCACGGCTGTGTCATCTCCTCTCTGTGTTCTGAGCAGGACAGAAGCGGCAGAGAGACCGGGTCAGGAACCCCAGACTCTGGGGACTGGTTCGAAATAAATGAATTTAAGATTGCCAACCAGGGAGGGAGGGACGGGAAGCAGAAAGCCTTTTGGCAAAAGCTGGCTTCCCTGTTGATTATTCGGTCAGCACATTCAAACACAACTCCCTCCTTCCCGGATTTTATGCAGGAAACGAAAATACAAAATGCGTTTGGGAGAGAGTGCTTTTATACAATCTTTCTTTTAAAAAGAAAAAAAAAATCCATGGTTTTGCTCCCAGTGTCCTCCCGGCTGTGCTTAAAAAGGCTTCCTTAAAATTAAATAAATGGTTCCCAGGCATCATAGTGGGGTGTTGTCCCCGTGGCAGCGGTGGTTTCCCTCCCCCCCGCCCCCCCGCAAGATCCTGCCTAGTAATTGCCATTTGGGTGAATTTTCCCCAAGAACAGTCCGTTTCAGGTTCTCTGGCCTCAGCCAGCAGAGGAGGCTGGGACAGAAAGGGGTTCCCCCCACCCCTGTCTGCCCTTCTCCGGGAAGATGGATAGGTCTGCAGCATATAAATTAATGAAAAGATTAAACTTTTGCTGAAGGGGACATCAACTTTTATGTCATTTCCCGGTGTCTCTCTGCCTGAGATCTGTAATATCTCCCAGGCCTTGATGTACTGTTTCTATAAAAATAAATTACTTGTAATTTAATTCCACACTATTTCTTTCAGGAGTCTATTACGCGGTAGCACCTTAGCAAGAGATGTAGACCAAGTGGCAGAAAATTGCTTCTCGGGCGCCTGCCGATGGTGAGGACGCCCTAAAACAGAGGAAGGGGTGACCCATCGATCCAGAGGCGAATTAAAAATTACCGGCTGTAAATAATAATAAAAAAAACGCGGGAATAGAACGGGGCATAATTTTTCTGTCACCACAGGGGACAGAACTACATAATGAAGAAGAGAAGGCGGGGAAACCCACATAAAAATCAATTAGTTCAAACACGGATGTGTTGTGGAAATCGTGAGGATTGGAAGACAAGAGGGGGGGTGAAAAATGAACTATATTTTCGCCCTGCCTCGCACTGCTTCATAATCCTTTTCGGTACAGCCTGTCCCATGTCGTTAAAGGATAGAGTTTCAATTTAGCGTGGAAATTTGTTGTAAATAAATTGGGGACCCTTTGGAAGCTGGTCCTTATTAACCTTTTATTTCTAGTGTCGTACGAGGGGCTCATATCATCCAGCTGTCAGGGTTATAATCGAAAGTTATGAGACCACGGTAAGGGGCAGGCGGTAATTTAATTACAACAAATATCTTTGGGTTTATGGCGCAGAGCTAAATTAAATGTCATTATTCACTGTCTGTAATGGAAATCAAAACGAAATCAGATTACGGGCATTTGTGAAAAAAAAATCAGTGAGTGGTCCGTTAATGAAGAAATAACTGTCTAAACCAGTGTAGTGTGCTTTACTTACCATATTCAGGCCTAATTGGAATTGATCGTGAATCACCGCAAGACGGATTTATTATCGCTTAACGCGGTGGCTAATCCATCACTTTTATTCTTTATAATCTTATTTTTTTTCCCCCTCCCTTGGCTGAAGGGAAAGTGAGCTTCACTTCAGCTCACTTTCCAGATTTAAATCGGATTCTGGTTTTTGAAAAATGCCCTTCCAAGGAGGCAGGATTTGTTATTTTCGTGCCTGGCTGGCTTGGCTGAGGATGGGGTTGGGGACCCCCAAGGAGAGAGGGGCCGAAGACCCGCCAGGAAGGGGTCTGGTCCACCGGCGTTTGGGGGAAGGGGGGACGGGCAGGGGGCGATCTCAGCAGACTTTGGAAATAGAGCAACCGTTTGTGAATTTCAGCTTAAGGCCCAGGCAGGGGCCTTTTTGGGAATTACTTTGCCCAGGGATGTGATAAAAGTTTTCCAGTGTTCTGGAAAAGCCTGTCTGACAGGCGGCGGGCTGGATACTCCTCCTGGGAAGGAACCCGCTTCCTAAGAGCTAGGGACAAGAAAGTTCCCGTTTGCTTTCTTAAACTCCCCAATTCTTCAGACCTCCCCGGGTTTTCCTCGCCAGTCTGGAGCCACCTGGGTATCTCAGGGCTGCGGAGTCCTGTCTTTGGGCCAATTATTCTTCCTTGTGGTTAATGACTGCTATGGCGGCTTTGGGGGAGAGTTACCCTAGAAAGACTGCCCAACGGGAGGGGTGAGGGAGGGGGCTCCAAATGGCCTCCGCATAGCTGAAATGCTCGGCTCTGTGGACTGAGGGGGGGAGGCTTGTGGGAGGGTAGATGTAGGAGGTGGGGGAGGGGTGGTATGAGCACCCAAATCTTGACGTCAGGCCTGTGAATTTAGTCCAGCTAGGCAAGAGTCCCAAACTCTTGGTACCTCACCCTAAGACTCAGAACTTTTTAGAGGGGCGGGGACCCCTAAAGTGCAGAGCCTGCAATATTGGGGGGAACTCAGGACTGTGACCCACCCTCACTTCCCTGGAGCTTCCAAAGAGGGCTGTGGTGTGTCTGGGTTCAGGGAGATCAGACTTGATGGAAGAGGGGGCTTGGATGGGAGACATTTGTCCACCTGTTCCACCCCTACCTAGGCCACATTCTGGAAGTGGAAGGTCAGGTGGTGCCTAAGAAGAGTTGGAGGGAATGGGGGAGAGGAAGACGGGTATACCCACACAGAGCCTTAAAGAGACCTCAAGTTCACTTCCAGGGCTCCAGAACTCATTTCTAAAGGATATCCAGGCTAACGTCTCACTTGGAGAGGAGGGGCTCAGTCAGGGGGGACCAAGAGATAAGTTTGACAATTCTCAGTTCCAGAGTATCCAGTTACTGGTGGGAGCAGGGCCCCTTGCCTGGCCACCCCCAGGCTCCCAGGGGCCGCACCCTCCAGCCTCAGGGCAGGAATTTCTGGCTCCCAAGGCCTGCTCTGCTCATGGCCTGCGCGTCTCTGTTCTGTCCCTGTCCGCTCACGGCCTCCACTGTCTCTTCTCTGCCCCTAAGGTTTGGTTCCAGAACCGGAGAGCCAAGTGCCGGAAACAAGAAAACCAGATGCATAAAGGTGGGTGTCTGGGGTGGAGCGCCTGCTAAGGTCTCCATGGTTCTGGGAGGACCCCGGCGGCGAAGCTTCGACGCTCAGGGCTCCTGTCTCTCTCTGCAGGCGTCATCCTGGGCACAGCTAGCCACCTGGACGCCTGCAGGGTGGCGCCCTACGTGAATATGGGCGCGCTGCGGATGCCTTTCCAACAGGTAGCTGATTTTTCTTCCTCGGAACCGCAGGGGGCCCCTCCGCCTTCCTCCTGCCCCCTCCTGGCCCCTCCTCCCCTCTCCCACCCCTCCTCCCCAGGCGTCAGGGCACCCTGGCCCCTCCCGCCCTGCAGTCTCCTCGGCTAGCCCTCAGAAGAAAGGCAGCCGCCTTTACAAGGGCGCATTTATAGGCGCGTTGGCACGTATTAAAATCAGGCTGTAAAACTGCAAGAGTCACCTTTGGGGAGGTAGAAACACAAACCAAAACATAAATTTTACAAAAATCGGAGTAGGAAAAAAAATCCCACCCACCCAGGAGCCACCCACCCTGTGGCTGTCTGGTTGTCGAAAGGGGAGCCCTGCCCCTGCTCAGGTATCAGGGCCGGGACAGACACCCACCCGCGTTTACCCTCAACCGTCTTCTCCACCCAGGGCGCGAGGGTGGAGACACCCCACTTGGCACCTTCACCTTAGACTTGGGGGCCTTCCAAGCTCCAAGCAGAGGTGGAGGCAGCAGGGCCCGGGCCTGGACACCAGGGTGCCAGGGGTCAGAAAAGAACTGGGAGCCCAAGAGTCCCAAGGGGCGCCCCCATTCTGGGTCAATGTTGAGGAGGAGGAAGGGGAGAAGCTGAGCAGTGGGAGGCACCGGGTCCTCAGGTCCAGAGCGCCGCGCCCACGTGCTCCCGGCTTTGCCCACGTGCGCCCTGCCTTGACTCAGGGCAGCCCCTAGCGAGGCACCAGCGTGGCCCCAACTTGCAGAACGAGAGACTAGCCCCATGGGTGCGCGGTCTCCACCCGTGACCGGTTTACTCCAAGGAGGAAGTCATGGTCTATACTGGGAGGTTTGTAGAGGGACTGGGGTCTCCCCTGGCAGGCGGGGGTAGCGAGTCGGGTATATGTACATCAGGGTGCCAGCAGCATACTGGCTGTCTTGGGACATGAAAAAGGGCTTCCAAGGCCTCTCACCCTGGGTGGCAGGGCCCGCGCCCCTCCTCCATTCACCCTGTCCTCTGTGCCTCAGTGCCAGCCTTGCCAGCAGAAAGGAGGCCCCATCGCGTCACAGGACAGCTGTCCTCTGGAGCACAGGGTGTCGGCCTAGAACCGAATGCAATTAGGCCGTGGAGCCCGCAGGCCAGGCAGGGCAACTCGTATTGCAGACTAGGAGAGCCGGTGCCCTTGGGAGAGGAGGCGGTGGGGAAATCGAGATCATTGAGGGCAGAGGAGCCTGGAGTTCCCTGGGGGCTGTGCTCATTCTGGTCGTGGAGAGCCCCTTGGACTTTTCGCTCTGTCCTGATTCGTCTCAGTCCAAAGTGGCCAGTGGCCCCGTGGGCACGGGCACGAGGGTGTACAAGGGCCATCTCTGGCTCCCCGCGCGGAAGGAGAGTGGGATGGTGGTCCCTATGGCAGGGGAAAGGCGACAGACTCAAGGCAAGGAGAAGGCTTTAGGGTAGGGAAGCCCCCTACTCCCCCCAGCCAAAGTAACTAGGGTGGGTCTCCCCCTGACCCCGCAGGTCCAGGCGCAGCTGCAGCTGGAAGGCGTGGCGCACGCGCACCCGCACCTGCATCCGCACCTGGCGGCGCACGCCCCCTACTTGATGTTCCCGCCGCCGCCCTTCGGGCTGCCCATCGCGTCGCTGGCGGAGTCCGCCTCGGCCGCCGCCGTGGTCGCCGCCGCCGCCAAAAGCAACAGCAAAAACTCCAGCATCGCCGACCTGCGGCTGAAGGCGCGCAAGCACGCCGAGGCCCTAGGCCTCTGACCCGCCGCGCGGCCCCCAAGCCCCGCGCCCCTGCCGGCCCTGCGTCCTGCACTCAACCCCTCCGAGCCCCTCACGGCCGGCCAGCTGGATGCCCCTGGCACAGCAGCGGGCTGGGGGAGGAGGAGGCGCCCCCACCCAGGGGCTGCCCACGCCCGACCAAGCCAGACCCTCTGCGCAGAGACTCTGCGGAAGAGAAAGCAGGCGAGCGGCGGTGCGCGCACCCTGCGTGTCCTGGGACGCTGGGCCGGCGCCGCGCGGTCCTCTGCTGCTGGCGCCCCTTCCCTGTGCATGCGGCTAACTACACACGTTTGGAAGAGCTTTCTAGAGTATATTAAACAAAAGATCCCGGGGCTGGTCTCCCCTCAAGATGCCATTTCTTCGTTGCTGACGATTTAATTCACTGCCATAAACTTTCTTTCATCTGAGGAAGCTGCGGAGCTGGTGAGGATTTGGATTCGGACTTATGCATCTGAGACAGGGGCCCTGGTTCTCATAAGGTGCCCCCCAGCTTCCAAAAGCAGCAATAAGGAGAAACGCGTCTCGGCCAAGGCTGAGGACCTATATATTGGGTGTGGGGGGGCGGGGGGTGAAGACCCGAATCCCCCAAGCGGTGACCGTTCTGGGGACCTGGATTTGGGGCGCGGAATTCAATTCATGCACACGCTTTGCCCCAAAGCACCAGAGGAACAGCTTATATTCCTTGTGCTGTAGGATGGGTGACTTTATAACTTTTTCAATATTTGATTCCAGAATCGACTTTTTGGGGGGGTTTTTTGGTTTGTTTGTTTTGGCTGTTTTACAGAATTCAGACGCAAATGACTTGCATAGGAGACGGACACGTGGTTTTAAGGTATAATAATACTGATGCACCGCGTTTTTTTTAGTGAGATGCAATGAGGTTCAGGAAAGTGCAATACTGTAAATATTATAGATTTAAAAAGAAAGAAAGAAAGAAATTAGCCGTGCACGCTTCTCCTGTCAGCGCCCCACGGTCGTGCGTGGGGTGTGTGCGCTGGGCCCGGCCACCGCGGAGCCTATTACAGAAATAATGGGCGTGAGATTGTCCCGGCCGTGGTGGAAGTGAGGTCTTGTGACAGGTGATAAGGGTGGGAAGGTGCCAGGATGTGAGTTTGGTGGATGACCTGTTTCTTTGGGAAAGCAGAAGGTTTGGTGGAGCCAGAGAATTTTAAGAGGATATTTTGTGAGTTGGCAGTCTCAGCCTTTTTTTCTCCCCCCATCCCCTGAAATGCCCCAATTGTATAAGCTCTGAATAGAAACTTGTCATATATCTAGAAAGTTGTCATCGTGGCTGGCTGGGCCTGGGACAAGTCACCGCCTTGGAATGGGAGAGTGACTGGGGTGGAATGGGGGAGTCCTTTGAAATGAACTTGCCAAAGCATTCAAAGCCCCACCTTATGCCCCTGACTTTGAGAGTTGCTAGATTGGTTTGTGGGGAGCACAGCACTGGGCTTGTCTACCTCGAACGTACATCTTCTTTCTTTTTTTTTTTTTTTTTGGCTATTGTTTCCTAGGCCTGCCCAGAGAGAAACCTGTCCTATCTGTCCTTTTTCCTAACTGGGCCACCCAACCAGCACTTACTAATGTTCAGTGGTTGACTCTGTTACCCAAAGAGGTTTCGATCTTTCTAGATTCAGCAATTTCCTTCCCTTACTCACCATTTGGATACATCTCTGAGAAAAAGAAATTTTTTTTTGTTGTTGTTGTTGTTGATTTTTCCTTGTGAGAGACCACTTTGTACCCTTCACAGAGCTGAAATGCAGCTAAGGTCGGATATATCTTATTGTTTGTATCATGTGACATTGTTTTTTTGGAGATAGAGTCTCACTTTGTCACCCTGGTAGAGTGCTGTGGTGTCCCAGCTCACAGCAACCTCACGCTCTTGGGCTTAAGCCATTCCCTTGCCTCAGCCTCCCCAGTAGCTGGGACTACAGGCGTCTGCCACAATTCCTGGCTATTTTGTTGCTGTTGTCATTGTTGTTTGGCAGGTTTGGGCTGGGGTTCGAACCTGCCAGCCTCGGTGTATGTGGCCAGCACCTTAACCGCTGATCTACAGATGCTGAGCCATCATCTGATATTCTTTAGACAAATTAGAATCTTTCACTTATTTTATTTTGAAATTTTAGCATCACTCTATAATGACAGGAAAAATGCAAGGTCATATTTTTAACTCACTGGTGACTATTTCTCTCCACCCTCAGCCCAACACACCCAGTCATTAATGAATGGCCCTGGATAGTTTGCCTCATTCGTGCAGTTTTGTTTTTAAACAGCTGGAAATTGAAAAAAAAAAATAATAATGAGAAGAAGCCAGGCATTGTGGCAGGCACCTGTAGGCCCAGCTACTCGTGAGGCTGAGGCAGGAGGACCGCTTGAACCCGGAGTTTGAGGTTGCAGTGAGCTATGATGATGCCACGACACTGTACTCAGGGTGACAGC